GTTTATAATTGAACTTGACACACCTATTCTGTTCTGGGTCAAACTGAGACGCTAATTAAAAACCAAGACAAATGATTCATGAAGATTTACATTGAAAATAAACTTTATTCTTTAAATGAGCAGCAACCTCTGACTTCTACAAACCTTCATCCACTGTGACATTGGGGCCTAAAGCAGTGGAAGTTGCTCAATCAACTTGTACCACATTGTCCCAATATMWGCCAGCATGTGTGTGTATGTGTTGAGGTGAAATATGTCTCACAGTTGCAAAAAAAACCAAATAGTACTGGATACTTTCGACCCTTTTTTACTCTTCTTTTTGACTGCCCGGTCAAAATGACCCGAACAGTATCTATGTAATAGACGCGCGGGGGGCTGCCAAAATGTACAATGAACCATTTTCATTTTATATGTAATTTATACCTATTAGGACAAATAGAAAAGGTTTCATGCAGAAAAAATACTTTCAACCGTTTATTAAAGTTTTTAAACTTTAAAACGGGTCAATTTGACCCGCAACATAACAGGAGGGTTAAGAAATGTATATAACTGCCCTCTTTAAATCAGCGCATAATGAGAAAAGATACAATTATAGCCACTTCTGTCAAACATCAATGCAACATAGCAAAATGTCAAGCTTAAGTGTTATAAATGACTGCTGCTATATCATCAAATATAAAACAGACCAAGTTACACCCATTTCTTGTATTTTCTAGAATCAGGTGGCTGTGACCACCATCTTGAATTGGGTTAATTCCAAATGTTCGTTGGTTGTAGATGTATGGTCAATGAATACTTTGGAACATGACAGGAAATAAACCCAACAAATGGGATAATGCTATCAGAGCATTATTGTCCACGTATGTGGCCCCTTCTTGGAGTTTAAAGATTTCATTGTTCCATAGTTTCCTTACAGAACACTTCGCTCTCAGACTGTAGGTTTACTTGTGGTTCCAAGAGTTTCTAAAAGTAGAATGGGAGGCATTCCAGTTTCCAGTTTCGTCCATGAAGCTGACATTACTTTTAAAGACTAGACTTAAGCTTGGGTTATACTTCAAATACAGCATGAGACAGCGGGTCGGTGATTGCGTAATTTTGGACATCTTTCTCCTGATCGGGTTTCATTCAATGATCAGTGTTTTGTTGGGTGAAAAGTCCGCGGAGGAAAAACTTTGCTTTTTTTGTTTTGTTTTGTTTTTTGTTTTTGTTAACGGTGGTGATGGAAAAAAGACGTGAAGATCAGCTACATGCTCACGTTCAATAGGAACCAAACCAGCTGCTCTTCTAGCGCTTTTAAGCTTTAGACGAAAAATCATTTTAAACAGAATCACATGCAGAAGGAAGAGCTGCTCTGGTCCAGCTCCTTCCTCAGTGCTGCGGCTGGACCGCTGTCTTGCTCCCCAATAACAAAACACACCCATGAAGTTCTGACCAATCACACGTTCCGAGCCGCAAGGTCCGTGCCGCAGAGTTCTGACTGGGGGCAATGTACACGACGGCTGTCACCAGGGGATAGCAGCAGGAGAGCAGACAGAAATTGCGCAATTTTTTGTCACTCAATGGGGAGGAACAAGACATGTGACTCGAAGTTTAAACCAGCCTAGTTGTTGAAGACATATTTCTGTAACCTTTAGTGTCAGACAAATAAAGCTTTCTATTCTATAAGACTTTCCCTTTTGATAAATCCTACAGTTAGGCTTAGGTTTCCTGAGTTATTTCTTAATTCACTCTACATGTTTGTTGTTTTAATTATTTCTATCAGTAAAGTGTGTTTTTCTTCTCATAGAAAATGCACCTGGACCAGTCATTCTGTGTTTGTCTTTGTCTTTTTCCTATCTTCAAACCCAGACAGTCGAGGCAGATGCCCATCCTGAGCTTGGTTCTGCTGGAGGTTTCTTCCTGTTAAAAAGGGATTTTTTTTTTTCCTTTTCACTGTTGCCAATGTGTGGCTCAGGATGGGAGACTGAGGAAGTGTAGATTCCACACAATCTACTCCCTTTAATTGATAGTATCTACTAACTGGCATTTTATAATGTATAGGAATGTTTTTGTACAGTGCCCTGAGACAACACTCGTTGTGACTTGGTGCTATATAAATGAGCTGAAAGTAATTTGATTGACAGATATTTTGTATCTATATTAAAAAACTACTATGGTGCATCATTTTAGTATTTTCCAGCAATAAATCTGTTCTAGAATCATTTGATCTCTTTCATTTGTTGTGTTACGACCCATGCATCCAGTATTGTGTCATAATATGAGGTATTCTTTCTTTATTTCTGCAACAACGGCATGAATGAAATTATCGAGTGGAGAAAGCATACCTTGCTCCTGTCTGTCTCCTGCTCAGTGTTCTGGCTGCTCCTCCCCGGGTGGATGGTGGACTTGAGCTTCTCCAGGCCGGTGGCCAGCACAGACCGCTTCTCCTCAGCCAGCATGGCAGTCGTCAGGGGCTTCACTAAGTGGGGGCTTGACAGAACCAGATACAGACATTATTTACTCACAGTAAAGATTAAGACATGACCCAACACCTGACTGCTCAGCTGCCTACTGGTGATTTCTCCAAAAAGCTGAAAAACAACATCTGGTGTTCATACTGGAGGTCTCGTTATTAGGCATATCTATTTATCAGCCCATTAAGTTTCACTACAATTTTCAAGTTTTCCTTCCTCTTTCAATATTTACCTAGTCTGAAAAAAAGATAAAAATAAGTTATCACCCAGTAACATTTTATATATAAGCCTAAATAATAAACAAACACTAATGAACTTGTATTTGTGCTGTAGTTGGTCAGAGCTGTGTTTTTATTTAAAGATTAAAAATAATGTAAATTTAAAAAACAGAATAAAATCATTTCAATGTTTATAGTCAAACTATTTTTTCTTTTAAGCAATGGTATTTGTGAAATCAAAAATCAACATCCAAACCATAATAAGATAAATGTTATGAGTTTTATTGTGACCCAGAGGGATTACAAATACTATAGTACTTATTATAAGAACATCATTACATCATTTTAATACCAGTGTATTCTCCTGTTGTTTTGGTTGACTGACATTTAGTCCTGAAGAGAAGCTTAAAAATAGGATTTTTGTTTATTATTTGTTGTACAAATCTAGTTTCTTTATAGTTTGAAAGGTAACTCAGCATTAATGCAATATTTTTGCTTATTTATAAGTGTTTTAACTTTTAATTTGTGGAATTTTAATCATTCATGTATGAAAAGATTTGTCTTAACATGGAATCATCTGCTTTAACTTTCTGAATTATTTAACTTCATGTTCAAACATTTATTCCCATAGAAATGCATTAAGTTCTCTTTAATTCCATCAAAAAAATGTTGCTCTAAACTCTACTCGTGCATTCTTAATATATTTGGGTTTTCCTATGCTCCTTTTAGCCAGTAGCTAATGTCTTGCTAATTTTAAATTTGTTCTTCCCATAGTTTTTACCTTCTGTTTTGCCATTTTAAGCTTTAACCTATGGTTTTACAAATTTTAGGCTTTAGCTCCTGCTCCTTTTAGCTTTCAACTACAGTTCTGGTTAATTTAGCTTTAATTTATAGTTTGGCTATGTTTAGCTTTCAGACACTGTTAAGCAAATTAAATTTTTACCTAAGGTACTGCTAATTTTAGCATATACATACAGGTATTATGAGCTTTTAGCTGTTGTTTTGCTAATTTTGCTTGTATCTACAACATTGCTAATTTTAGCTTTTAGCAATGATTTGATTATTTTTAGCTTTTAGCCACTGTTTAGCCAATTTTAAGTTTTACCTAAAATTTTTGCTGATTTTTACTTTTAGCTATGGTTTTATAAATGTTAGCATTTAGCTACAGGTCTGTTATTTTCAACCTTTAGCTACAGTTTTGCTTTTTTTTGTAGCTAATACATAGCTTTTAGCAATTATTTGATATTTTAGCTTTCAGCTACTGTTTTAGTCATTAGCTTTAAAACATACAATTTAGCAAATTTTAGCTAACAGTTACAGGTTTGCTCATTTTAGTTCTGCTCTGCTTGTTTTAATTTCAACCATTCAGTTTCAGCTTCAACAAATTCAGGACTCAGCATTATTTTTTACAGACAAAAAATATTTTGTTTTGTTTCACTTCTTCCATTATAAATCAAATAAAAAAATGCAATTTTTATTTGTGACACAGGTCACAAGTTCAAAATTTAAACTGAGCTTTTATGGTAGGAAATCACACAGAATCCTAGTTTTCTTTGGAACAAAAGTGTCCACTGAAAACAATGGTTATGTTTAGAAWTTATAGTTTCCTTTTTGGGGACTGACTAACAACCTAAACATAATATCTGAACCCAAAGAATCTTCGGAGACAATAACTGTCAAACAGCACAGGAAGACAATTTCCTGTGTCAGTGACCTACATTTACACGAGACGCTGCCTTGACTTGCATTTACAGACACTGACTTTGATTTCAGGTCATTTAAGGCTCRTTTTCAACACAATAAACTGTTTTCTACACTTCCAATATGACACCAGATATGAAAACTCCCATTAAACCCAAAACAAATGTTAGTTCAGTAACTGAGATGGAAGGAGAATAAACAAGAGTAACATTCTTTGAAAAAGTGGTGAGAATTAAACCTGACTTGAAGGGACTTAATTGCATGCATAGGTGCAATCAAACATGTTGAATTGTGTTAAATGTGTTATTACCACAAGGTGAAAGGAAATAACAAAACAACACCTTTTATTGCCTCAGAAAACCCTCATAAAAAAGCCAGATTTCAGAATAAAATGTCACGATGAGTGTGTGTGACGTTAGGTGTCCCCGTGGGGATGGGGCTGGGGGCTGGGGGGTGGTGGTTCTGTGTGTAAATATGTGTGTGTGTTGAGAGGTAGATGTCATTTGTTGTTGGAATCAGGGCAAAATAATAACTGCTAATTGGGCTGAGGCTTTAGTTTCCCCTCCTGTTACCATAACCAGTAAACACACACAAGAAACCTGCAGAAGAGTCCTGTTAACACAAGTATGTGTGTGTGTGTGTGTGCATGTTTGTTTTAACAAAGTGATAAATCATCGAAGGTCACACCACAAAGAAGAACACCCCTGAGAGCTGGCACAGAAGAGAAGCAGGCGGAAGAGGAGCAACAGGAGGAAACGCGTCACCTTTTCACCAAGCACCGAACATGTGCGACCTCACCTGCTCTGCTGGTCGGCTGCTTCCTTTTGCTGCTCTGTGTCGTCCAGTGCTGGTTTTGGTGAGGTACCGTGCGCTGGGCTGAGAGGCATTGTCGTTGAAATATTTGCAAGAGGAGAGAGGGCTACAGGGAGGCTACTGCTTTCAGGAGTTAGAGGAGGATCAAAGGAGGTAGGAAAGGGAAAGACGGGGTCAAACTGAGTCGAGAAAGACCCCTGCGCCACATTGGGATCGCTCCCGAAAGATGGCACGAGGGTGTTGTCTAACGCAGGTGTGAGAGCACCCACAGAATGGGATCGTTGAAGTTTAGCGTCTTGTCCCAAGTCACAATTTGAAAACATCTCAACTAAGGTGCCATGCTGATTCTCTACCTTTCCATTGTTGAGGTCTTTTGATTTAAAGCTCGTATCCCAGCCTAGCAGTGGTGCGGGTGGGATTTGTAATCCATCTCCAAATGGGAGGCTTGTCTTGAGATGTTCAGTCTTGTCCTGAGCCCAATAGGGGGATTCTGTGAAACTGTAGGTCTGGCTGATATCATCCTGGAATGACTTTGATTCATTCCTACCATCTTCTAGCGCTGAAAAACCAGTAGTTGTCTGAATGTCACTAAAGTCCCCACAGATTGTTGAGTTTCCAGAGTCCGGAGTGTCATTCTGATCCGAGATGTCAAAATCTTCAAAGCGTGGGTGAGAATCACTGGTTTGGTAATTCTGCAGGTGGGCACTGACAAAAGGGCTTTGAAGAAAGGTGCTGCTACTTTGATCAGCTGTCTGTGCTTGTAAGAAATTACTACCAAAGTCTTGACTAGGACTGTTCTCAGTGTGGCTGATGTCGTGAGAATCACTGAAATAGCTAAACGGTACATCCTGCTCTCCCAAAACAGTATTCTCAAAAGTTGCATTTAACATATCAAGCTTGGCACAAGGAGATGAAGTTATGATGTCTAATGATGGTAGTGTGGAAAGTAAGTCCCCAAACGGAGACTCAGGAATCATTGGATCTTCAGTATTTTTTACAAAGCAATCAAAATCCTTAAAAAAATCCACTGTAGGAGCTGTACTTTCTTCTCTGATTTCACTGGTTGACTGTGACGAAACAAAGGATTTTAGCTGAGGTTCTAAGGGTTTCATCAACAGATCAGGGAACAAATTGAAAGTGTTTGGTATCTGAGTGTCTTCACTTTTGCTTTCACTGTCCTGGTTAGCAGCTACAGGTCTAAGAGTTGGTATTTCAGGTGTCAAAGACACCTCTGAACTGCTCAGGTCGAGTTTTTCCCAGTGATCTTCATTCTTCGTTATTGTTTGTTTGGAAACAGAAATCAATAGATCATCTGACCTGTCAGCAATACTCTCTTCAGGCTCTGAGGGTTTTACATTTTTTTCCACAGCTGACTTCTCAAATTGGAGTGTGTTGCTTTCAGCTTCAGAGGACGATGCTGAAAATTTGTCTGACTGACAGGAAAAATAGGAGAAGCCATCATCTTCTGTTGAACTGCCAATGCCAGACGTACTCGGGTCTGGGGAGCTGCTGCTTAGCGGTGTGGCAAAAATGTTGAAGGCAGCTGGATTAATGTTAGTGTCTAAACTACTAGTAGTGTTGCTGTCCTGTTCGGTTTCGGTGCGAGGACTCAGCTTTGCAGAGTTAGTGGGAGTTTCAAAAGTTAATTCATCGCTCTCAAAGCTTCTGTGCTCTGGGATTGTTTCAAGAAAATGTTGGAAAGTGTCATGGTGATAAGTGTTACTGTACTTCACCTGGCTGGGAATCGTAGACATCTCAAATAAAAACGTGTCCTCAGGCTGATGATACAGAGAGTCATTATTATTTGTGTTTTCATCAGCATTTATGATGGTCCATTGCTCGTTTTTATTATTGTAGTGTTCCAGTGGCTGGTCACTGACTGCATTTTGCAGTGCTCTGCTTCCTGTGGTGAGGTCATCAGTGGACTGCAGCCTGCAAGCTGCAAATGCATCAAAAGAGTTATCCCATTCAGAATCTGGTTCAGACAGAAAAGGGTTTGATGGCTTCTGCGGTAGAGATTCCTTCCCTTCCATGGGAAACGCAGGAAGAGGTATTTTCTCAACTCTGGATGTCACTTCGCTGTGTGGATCAGTGTCCGTGTTGCTGTCCTCTACAGATGGATTATCATGGGTCAGAACAGGGTTAGGGTTACTTGGCTGTGGAAAAAGTTGGGTAATGGGGGGTCTGGAGCTGGAAAGATGAGGCAAAGGAGGTGGTGAAGCTTTTAGCAGCTGAGTGGTTAGTAAATCTTCACAGAAAGGGTTGTGCTGCTGGAGCGAGTAGAATGGGTTGCAGAGGGATAAAGGAAAGGGTGCGGTGGGCAAATGGCAGAAGGGGTTAGTGTGGTGCAGTGTAGAAAYCAAAGAGGCAGAATCTGCAAGGGGACCTAGGGGGTGGTGGCTAGGTGGAAAAGGTGGTAGGTTGGGGTCACTGCTGGGCTCTAATTTAGWGAAGACCACCAGGCTGTGAAAGGAAGGGCAAACAGTCCTCTCAGTTAGTTTCATTTGATCATACAGCTAAAGCCAAGACTGCAGAAGGTGTTTGCCTGATACCKCATATCAAACCAAATTATTCCTTTAAAGGCTTGTGTAGAACCTACTTTAAAACAGGGGCTTCCCAACACAAGGAAAACCATAAAAACCATACATCACTATGATATTTGATTAAAAAAACATACAACACAGGAGCAGCTGTTTAGTGAAAATTGCTTAAGTATGAGTCACTCATCTCGTCCATTTAGGACCTATCTAGACTTAATTCCACTCAAAAAGCTCCTATAATGTTTGTTCTAATGCAATTTACTTTTATTTATCTTGGCCCCATTATTTTGAACTCCTGTTTGAGCACTTTTATTAAGGCTGATGGCTAGTCATTTTTAAAATCAGGCTTTTAAAAAGCAATTTAAGAATCAAGAAACTTTTTTGGCTATTTGTGCATGTAAACCTAGTTTGAGAACGAAGGGATTTTTATGAAAAGCACTTGAGTCAATCAACGCAAGAATAAATATTCAGCAATAATACTATGCACAGCTGCTATTTCACATACAAATACTTATTTAGTTTTTTTTTTACCACAAGTGTCACCATGGCAAGGAAAAATCTGTTGTAATATGGTTTTGTGCATGATATTGCTGTTGTACACTCTGCTTTTACTCTGATTGTATGTTATGTGTTTGAGTCTTAAACTCATTCTCAATAAAATGCTACATTAGGTAATATTRAAGGGATCTCTGACTACTTGAACATGTAGACCTTAATGCATTGTTATTCCTCCATTCTACTAAATGTTGTTTTAGAAATGTGAAAACATTTAATTGCTTAAAAACTGTATATGTTTATTACATTTTTCACTTAAGTATTTCTCCATTTTGGGGATGATGATGATGGGTTACAGTTGAGACTAAAACACAAAGAGCCAAGGCTAAAAAGCTATAATATGTGACAAATKAATATTTTCTATTGCTTCTATGTTCTGCACAAAAGATGAGTTGAAACAAACATGATGTTTAGTTGTTTCTGGAGCTAACACTAATACTAATATACTGTGTGCAACTTTAGCTCTAAGCTATTATTATTAGCCTTAGCTCCTGAGCTAATATTAYWAGCTTGGGAGCTGATGCCACAGATATATTACAAATAAATATGTGGCATTAGCTCATGAGGYAACATTAGCCCGGGAGCTAACATCATAGCGTCAAATTAGCTCAGGGGCTAACGCAAAAGCTAATAGGCTAAGYTGTGGTTCCTTCCACGCAGCGGCTCTGTTGACCTCCAACATCATTTTCATTTGCAGGCTCAGTCATTCTCCACTCTGTGAACGTCAAAGTCCAAAATTAACAATCAAGCTGAATGGGGCTTGCACCAGAGAACTTAGTAAGCATCATTTACCCAGTATGATTGCAGTGTACATAACGACATCCATGTGACAATATATTTTTACATTTATAAAAATTTAACAGCCTACATTATTTTTACAGTCTCGTTTTTTTAGGTGAAGTAAATATTTAGCTAATAATGTTTAATGTTACAACTAGTCAGAGTGCCCTTTAAGACTAAACCTCTTTAAAAAGTGCTATGTATTTTCATCATTGTATACAATGACAATTTTGTTTGCTACGTTGGACCCATCACACGTGAGATTCATTCAAGCGGGCAGCTATTTAAGCACCTAGGAGCAGTTGGAGATTCGGTGTCTTGCTCAAGGACACTACAAAGTATGAGCACGGCGAGGGAACTGAAACTGTGACTTTCTGGTCCCAAACCKCCTGCTTTCAGACCTGTTTTAGTCTCAACCAGTTACTTAAGATAAAAATGTGTTTTATAGGTTCTAAATGCTCCACAACGTTCTCCTGTCAATCTGTCACTTGGTAAACAGTGAGCATGAAGTGATGTTTTTTTGTTTTACTTCCCCTAACTGTGACCTCCCTGTACTTAACTCACTTATCATTTTACTTGCTCTGACATATTTCTTATTTCCACTGATCCATAATGGATTGTTTATAATAATTTTAAAAAATGTAGGAGGATGTGGTGATTATATATGTGCCCTTATTAGTGCAGGCTGCAAATCTGTCCAGTCAGAGCGCTAACAGAAGGGCACTGTGTGTACTATGGTCCAAAATAGCTGACCTCGCCACAATCAGCACAAGYCTTATCAGTTCAATATTTTATTTACATTTTAGGTTAGGCGAATTGACTGAGAAATGGAAGTAAAAGCGCCTGAATTAAAGATTAATCATGTGCATAAAAATCTAACAGTGCAGGAGAATTTCACCACAAAGGAACAATACAGGAGARTGTACGGTACAACCGGTGACACCCCATTTAATGAATTACCCACTTTAGCTTGTGCTTGTGTTACAGGTGAAAAATAAATAGAAACTGGGTTACCTTCCCTTCTTTCTGCCTGCCCACACGCACATCGCATATGTTGGCATAAAACCTTCGCACTCAACGACCTCAGGGGGAGCAAATATTTCTCAACGTCACACTACGGCCTTTCCAGAAAACTGATACCRTCGCCCAACAATACTACCGATATTCTGAGGCTAATTTGACCAGAGCTGCTCCACGTTTTATCTGCACTGCAGACACCTGCTGTAACCAGAGACTAAGACCAGGAGAGGTGTGCTCAGAGCTGGAGGCACTCCTGAGCCACGTCGGTGCACAGCGAATAAACAAGTCCACCAAAACCCTGCTGTAGCCATTTTTACTACAAGTTTTACTGGGACATACGAATACATAAATAACATTATTATGTCTTACTGAATACATAATCTCCATATTGAAAAAAAACGACGATTGAACTGATTGGAAATTAAATCAGTATCACTTTAACCTGTTCTGTTGAGTAAATAAAGCTATTAGCTCAGTGTAAATATGGCTATTATTAGCTATCAAAAAGGTCTAAAGTGTTGCTATAAACTTGTTTATTGTGTACACACAGACACGAGGATGGTAACGCAGCTAATGTGACCTGCTGCGTGTTTAARGGAATATTCCAGCCATTTTGAAGTTAGGTACTGTGAAATTTTTTTAACTACTTGCAGTAGCTTTTTAACCAACCTTAGTTTAGAGAAACTGAATTTAAGTCCAACAGCACTGATGAACTACTGACCAGTCTGAACACAGCAAAAACCTAATTGGGACGTTGCCTTCTTAAAACATCTTCAATCTAAAAGAAATAAAAAAATGATAGAAATTCATGAAAATACTATTTTATACACTTTTACACCATATTTGCATATTATTCTGTGTTTGTTTGCAAATGCAAATAGCAGCAACTAGCTGTAGCACTTCCCGGGTAGCCTGGGGCACTTTTAGYAAGACCTAGAACTATTTCTGGCATAACAAACATGTAATGCCAAACTCATAATGACGTAACGCGAGTTCAAAACAAGCAGGTGATAACAAATCTGTGTATTTGTAGAGGTGGTGACTCTGCTACGTGATCCTCAATAAATCTCAAAACACCACAGAGTGACGAGGAGTTGTTCACCAGAAAAAGGTGTTTAAGTGTGCCATAATGACGTGCCTCAGGGTTGGCTGTGGAAAAAACAAACCGGTTCTTTAACCTTATTGTTTAAAAAAAAAACAATTAGGAGAAAGTTAAAGAACCAGTTGTAGCACTTTAGACACATCAGCAAAAAAACACAACTTTATAATTCTCCAAACTGAGGCCGTTCAAAGAGCTRTCTACATTTGGATAGATATTTATTCATTTTTCTACAAAGCCACCACTTCAAAAAAGGCCAAAAAACATCCMTCTAGTTTTTCAAAATAAATATACAACCTAAAGTAATACCTTACGTCTTAATTTCTCTAAGCAAGTAGTTTAATTCAAATACAGTTTCCAGTTAAACATAAATATTTGTGTAAATCTGTCTCAGTTGCTTGTCCATTAAAAGYATTTTTGTCATGTTGTTCCCACAATAAAATCCCCAGCGATTAAAATATCTCAGTTTATATAATTATGATGGAGGAAATTATTTTCAGCGGAGCAGCTGGTCTCATGACCGTGTTGCCAGCTCCATGTCATTTGTATTACACCTGAAAGGAAAACTCGTCACCAGTTTAAAGCTGTAAGAAGGAGTCAAAGGTGTGTTTTATTCTCTGATCAAATCAGATCTAACGACAGAGAGCATCTCACCTGRGTTTGCTGTGCGGGTCTTTTGATCCAAACCAACCCTTGTGTTTCTCCTGAGAGACAGCAGAGACCTGTTCAGACTCGTCCTTCCACCGACTCTGACCCTTCCCTCCAGATTCACCCCGCCCATGTGAGAACAAGTTCTTCCTCTGCTTTTTCCCCAGGCTCTCCGGCTCCGCCTTCGAAGCAGAAGACGCCGAGGCAGCTTTTAGTTCCAGCCGCTCATCTTCCTCGCCCAGCACGGGGCCACTTTTCTCCATGGCTGCCGCTATGGCGGCTTTCTCCTCCTCGCCGGGCCTGTCCACAGACCAGCGCCGCCCGTCTCCCACGAGGCCCTTGGGGAGGTCGCGGGTGGAGGTGCCGAGGTTGTGTAAAGAGACGGAGAGGGGCAAAGACTTCTGCAACGGTCCCAGGCCTAAAGAACCTGCCGGTTTTCCCGAGCCTCGGTCCGGAGGCTGGACGTCGTAAGCATGGCTTCCGTTAACGCAAACAGCGGACTGAGGCACTGTGATGGTGATTTCACCGGCCTCCGAATCAAAGTCACATTTGAGAGAGGACGACTTGGGCGACGTGTTGGTCGTGTGCTCTGCAACAGATACACAACAAATACACAATCAAACAATAAGCTGGGTGAGGGTTGGAGTAAGGTCCAAACTCTTCCAATTCTAGGGTTTTACATATTAAAGTGCCTGTGACATCAATTTTTTTTGTGATAAAAGTGATTGCACTTTTGGAAAGATAACATGGATAACATATAGCAAAAGAAATTTCACACTACTGAGATGAACAGTTGTTGAGATATTTGCATGTGAAGTAACAGGAAGTGATGTTAAAGGGGAATGTCTGCATGTAAACAGAGCATTGTCCACCTAACCAAGTTTTAAAATCTTATATCAGCCAAAAAGTMTTTTTGATCTTGTTTTGAGACTGATTTACTAAACAAGAACTGATTGTGTAAGAATAATAATCTTGTTTTCAGAATGTGTAAGATTATTTGTCTTGTTAGCCTGAAAATTTGACTCAAATTTAGTCAAAAATGTCTGCCAATGGAGTAAGAAAATTTTACTTGGTAAGATTCTTAAAATACTTGATTTGACTCAATTTTTTTCTTATTTCTTTTTTTTCTTATTACCTTTGATGTCACTTCCTGTTTCACTTTAGCCGAACCAAATTCAAAGGAAAATATGCCAGTTATGTGACAAAATGGGTTTAATTGTGTGTTTTATGCCAATTTTCTTAACTATGAAGATATTTTCTTTGACTTTTTGTATTTGAAGGATAGGCATATCACAGGCACTTTAAGACATGAGTATTATAAAAAAGTTATGGTCTTTACCAGACTCTAGAATTATTCAAACCTAACCTCTAGTGTATAAAAACACACAACAGGTTACACCATGTAAATAATAGCAAAACTAAAATAGAAAACAAACCCAAATCATCAACTCTTCACCAGCGTGTTTGAGCTGATAAGCTAATAATAAAAACCGTGTTTGGTTTTTGCCAAATATAACCGCTGTGCATTATGGGAAAACATTTCTATTTCTGTCTCATTTGTTTAAAGGACATTGTTCCAAATGTCGTTTAGTTTAATCAGATTCACAAACCTACATTGTGCGGCCATGTTTTGTTTTTTTTATTTGAAAAGAGATTTCTTAAGGACACTTTTCCAAAAACATTGTACTTGTTCAGTTTTTTTTCTAGCTGTCTTGTTATGACCTGTAACCTTCACCCTGCTCACTGTGGCTTGTAGAGTTTAAGTTGGAGCTCTTGGATTAATTAATTTATTTTAATATTTTTGTGCAATTCTGAGTGTTACACAGTCTGACGTTAGGGTGATTTTGTCAACTTGTCCACTCGACTGGCAGCTGTGGTGTTTTCTACTTGTGAATAATATTGTTTACGGCAGAGTGATGAACTACAAATTTGCTAGAGGCAGCAACAATCACTTCTCTTAGGTCATTGTTGATGTCTTTCCTCCTCGGCATTAATTAACACACACCTGTCGGCTCCAGAGCAGCAAACTAAACTCCTGCTTCTCTAGAGGAGCTCACGCTGATGATGATCAGTGAATCAGTATATTTGATCAGAAGCTCCTGAACTTTCTGGATCACGAGGAAACAGCAAGGCAGGACTTACTTTTTCAGACAGCCTTTTTATTTTAGCTTTATTTGTCATTCTTAAATCTGTTGTGTTTGTACACTTCAGGTTAGATTTGTATAACTTTAAAACCGGGTAAGGATTTTTATAATGTCCTGATAGATAAAAGCCTACATTTAAAAGAGAGTCGACTTTTGTTTTTGACTGTATCTCATTTTTTAACTCACTTGTACCTTTATGTACTCATTGGCTTCCCACTGTGTTTAGCAAATGACCGAATGAAGGATATGTGTTATAATTGTTGTAAAACAGTGTTTGTTCTGTCATTATAAGTTAGGTTAATTCACTTTAACCATTAACAGTCCAGATAACAAATCTCTGCTTTTGGATTTTGTTGGCCTAAAGCTAAAAGTTTGGGAACCGCTGTTCTGGAAMAAAACTCTAGGATTGTTCCACAAATATAAAAACACAAAACTGTGTGTGTCTGCATTATAACAAATGTTTTTCTAACTACAATACACCACAGTCCATAAAACAAAAATGATCTTCAGTTTAATACAAGCTTGGAGTCGTTCTCACCTGGACTGTTGTCTGCGGTGAAGTTGCTGCTGTTACTGGGGGAGTTGGAGAGGTCCGACACCACCACACTGATCCCGGCGGTGGGGCTGAGGCTCCCACCTCGAGATGATGATTCGCTGCTCTCCGAGCCCAGAGACGTGCTGGAGCGAGTGTCCGACGATTTCCGCAACTTGCCCCTCAAAAAGAACGTCCTCATCTTACTCCGCCGGACTTCGCCCCCCTCATCGTCCTCGTAATCTTCCTCTCCTCCTCCGTCGCTTGGCAGTCGTTGGCGCATGCGGTACAGGGAGCCATATCCGCTCGGGAGGACGGCCGAGGAGGAGTCGTCTTCACTGGATCTCCTCTTCCCCCTCATGCGCTCTTTTAGCTTGCTGAAGGTGGAGGCTCCCTTGTCCTTCATGACTAGGTCATACATGCTGGCTGTCAGGTTGTTACGGGTGAACTGGATGGTGACTTGGATGTCTCCTCTCTCTTTCTCCTTTTTCCCCGTCTTAGAGTTAAGTCTGTACCACCTGCAAAAAAAGATGGATCCATTAGATTAAGAACAGACACATCAATTCTTCGTAGAAAAAAGTTTTTTTACATTGATAGGCTTGTGCAAAATCGTATCGTGTGAGGTTAAATGTCATAAAAATGTAATATTTCCCGTTTTGCAATGGCCTATATGCCACGGTCATTAAAGATGTATTTACGGTAAAATTCTTGCCACGCACATCCCCTATGTTTTTAGCGTTAGCTCCTAGTACTAGTCCGTGAAAAAGTCACAAAAGTTAAAGTATCTGTGAGCTACTGGTATAAAACTGAGTTCTGTTGTGTGCCGTTGTGTCCACTAAGCAGCAGGTACGATAGAGTAGTTAGTTTTTATCCTTTTTCCTCTTGATGAGGAGGTGACAACAGAGGATCATAGCATTACAGG